AGAGAAATTGGGAGGAGGAGAAGGAAATTGGAGCGGGAGGAGAGATTGACATTCATCACATACACACAATGCACCCCTTGCACACAGAAAAACACACAGACACACATACACAAGCAATGCAACCGTTACACACAATGCATCCCTTACACACACAGAAACACACAATGCATTCATTACACACACTCAATGCACCCTTACACACATTCAATGCATCCCATACATACACAGAAACACACCTTGCAGTCCTTACACATACAAACACAATTTCACACAATGCATTCCTTACACACATATCAGGACATCCCCTACACACTCCACCCCCTGTGAACAAACTCATTGGTGGAACATGAAGGTGGACCCTGGGACCCAGACCTTGATCTGTGTAAAGGACCCCCAAAAAATGGAGCTGCTTCCAGTTCTCCCAGAACATTGATTTTTGTGACCACAAAAACAGTGGAGCCAGACTGCAGCTAGAGCCCATCATCATCCTCATCTGGTTGTAAGTAGGCAATCTTGTATATTATTCGTGGCACTAAGCTCTAATTTACCTCACATTAAAGAAACACTATAGTCCCCAAAACCACTTCAGCTTAATATAGTGGTTCTGGTGTCTATAGCCTGTCCCTGCAGGCCTTTTAATGTAAACACGGCGGCACTGCAGCACTGGCGTTAGTTAACATGGCAAATCATATGGTTGGGGCATTGTGATGTCACATGGGGGGCGGCAAACTTTACTTTTGCCTAGGGCGGCAAAAATCCTTGTACCGCCCTGGCTGGAGGGGGCTGTGTGAGCTGTGGCCGCACAGTGTCCCATGGTAGTTAGGGTGCCGTGCGGCCAGTACAGCTCACTCAAGCAAACAGCTGATAAACTGGCCGCACGGAGGAAATGTGTATGTGTGACTGTCTGTCTGTAACTGAGTGTGTGACTGTCTGTCTGTAACTGAGTGTGTGACTGTCTGCCTGTAAATGTGTGTGTAGGGCTGCAGGGATTTTGTAGAAGGGGTGGGGGTTTTGTATTGGGACAGGAGTCTTTATAAGGGGGGATAAGCAGGGGATTTGTGGAAGGGGGTTGCGGGGGTTTTGTAGATGGGGCAGTACAGGATTTGTAGAAGGGGCAGGACAGAGGTTTTGTAGGAGGGGCAGGGCAGGACAAGGGTTTTGTAGGAGGGGCTGACAGCGGTTTTGCAAAGTTTACAAATTGTAAAAATAAAAGAAATAAAACCTTTAACATTTTTTACAGGTTTTTTTTGGGGGAGGGGGGTGGGGGGGGTGCCAAGCACAGGATCCGCCCCGGGTGCCAAATGCTCTAGGTACGCCCCTGGAGGGATCAATGTCATCCAGTCCCCGATCTGCCAACCCTGGCACAATTTGTTTAATTTAATTGTTTAATAAAGTTATTATTGTTTGAAATGATCTTTGATACCATATTATGATGGTAGTGACAATCGCAATACCAGAAGTCTCGTTTGTAGAGAACCGGGCATAAGCAAATATACCACAAATTTTCAATACTTAGCAGAATACAAGCATTGGTTAACTGGTTAGAGTGGTTAACCACTCCAACTTGAGACATAACCTTCCATGTTATCTACATTTGGAAATTTTGTTGTTTTTATCTAAAAACAAAATGAATAAAACGTTTAACTTTTGTTTAGTATGTTCCTTAAAGGCAAACTAAGTCTGCACTTTATAACATCTAATGTATTATTGATATGACAATGTGTAAATAAAGAATTTAAAGGAACACTATAGTCACCTAAACAACTTTAGCTTAATGAAGCAGTTTTAGTGTATAAATCATGTCTCTCCAGGGCCGCCATCAGGGCATGACAACCATAACGGTTGTCATGGGCCCGGCGGTCCTGGGGGGCCCGGACTGCTCAGGTTGTCCCGGGCCCCACATTCAGTGGCGTACATACCGGGGTCGCAGGGGGCCCGGCCGCCCTGTGACACGGTATGTACCCACTGCGGCCAGCCTCTTCTCCTGGGGGGCCCAGCAGCCGGTCACCTGCTCCGGCATCAGTACGCGGCACGCGAGGGAGCTGAACAGGAAGCACTCAGGGGAGAGTGCTCCCTCGCGCGCCTGCTGGCCTGCCCGCAGTACCGGCTGCCGGGTGACACCACTGGACCCCAGGGAATCCCCTCAGCACTCCCAAAGGTAGGGAGGCTGGGGGGGATGAAAAAAAAGAAAAGAAAAAGAAACGTGTGTGTGTGTTAGAGTGTGTGTGTCAGTTAGCTAGTGTGTATGCGTCTGTTTGTGAGAGTGTGTGTGTGTCTTAAGCACTTACCTTTCTCCAGTGCCGGACTCCCTTGGTGCTGGGGATCTCTCCGCCCAGATCCGCCTCTCAGCTTAAATGCGCATGCGTGGCAAGAGCCGTGCGCGCATTCAAACTGCCCATAGGAAAGCATTACTCAATGCTTTTCTATGGACGTTCAGAGTCTTCTCACTGTGATTTTCACAGTGAAAATCGCCGAAGCTCCTCTAGTGGCTGTCAATGAGACAGCCACTAGAGGCTGGATTAACCCTCAGTGAAACATAGCAGTTTCTCTGAAATTGCTATGTTTTCAGCTGCAGGGTTAAAACTAGAGGGACCTGGCACCCAGACCACTTCATTGAGCTGATGTGATCTGGGTGTCTGTAGTGGTCCTTTAAGTGTATCTGCATGCACTGGCGTACATACCGCAGTTGCAGGGACCAGGTGCCCGCCACCATGTATTGCGGCCCCAGCCCGCGCAAAGTAAGCACATGGGGGGGGAGGGCACAGCCCCATGGGTTGTGTGTATGCCACTGCCCACATTAGCTATGTGCACACATATATAGCAATTAACGCTATATATGTGTGCACTGCGGGTCCCCCGCTACCTGTATTCTGCAGGGGGCCCAGCACACTTGAAATATACTGCCCAGATGCTCTGCTCTGTCGAAGTCTCGCGAGCGACGCGATCGTCAGAGCGTTACCATGGCAACGTTCCGCATAGCTCGCGAGACTTCGGCAGAGCAGAGCATCTGGGCAGTATATTTCAAGTGTGCTGGGCCCCCTGCAGAATACAGGTAGCGGGGGGCCCGCAGTGCACCATTCCTCAGGACATCCGGCTCCAGGGCTCCAGCCAATGTGATCTCCCCCCTCCATGGCCACAGGTGAGATACAGGGAGGGGGGAATAAAACAATACAATTATAGGATTTTCCCCCCACATTCTGCAGCCCCATACATTTACACACACTATACACTAACATTTACACACACTATTCACTAACATTTACACACACTATTCACTAACACATTTACACACACTATTTACTAACATTTACACACACACTATTCACTAACATTTACACACACACTATACACTAACATTTACACACACACTATTCACTAACATTTACACACACTATACACTAACATTTACACACACTATTCATTAACATTTACACACACTATACACTAACATTTACACACACTATTCACTAGCATTTACACACACTATACACTAACATTTATACAAACTATACACTAACATATACACACAATATTCACTAAAATTTACACACACTACATCCTTACACAAACATACACTCTGCAGTCGCTACACACACTACATCCTTACACAAACACACAGTCTGGAGTCACTACACAAACACACACACATGCACACACTCTGCAGTCACTACACACACTACATCCTTACACAAACACACACTCTGCAGTCACTACACACACTACTTCCTAACACAAACACACACTCTGCAGTACCTACACACACACACACACTTTGTAGTCACTACACACACTACATCCACTACACAAACACACAGTCTGCAGTCACTATACACACATTAAATACCTACACAAAGACACACTCTGCATCCACACACTGTATTCACTAAACACTACATCCACTACAAACACTCTGCATTCACTACACACACACACTACATCCACTACACAAACACACACTCTGCATTCACTGTACACATCACATTTAATACACACAAACACTGCATCCACTACACAAACACACATACACACTCTGCATTCACTACAAACACACACTACATCCACTACACAAACACACACTCTGCATCTAATATACACCTCATACATTACACAAATGTACAATCTGCATCCACTATACACACTGCACCCGTTAAACACACACCGCATCCACTTAACACACGAACTCTGCATTCACTACACACATTCCACATCCACTATACACACACCAGAATCAGTATAGACACTGCATCCCTGTGGGCAGACTCAGGGGGGGGGGCAGCACTTTGGGTGGACTCAGGTGCAGGCACCGAGGGACCCAGACCTTGAGCTGTGTCAGGGGCCCCAAAATTTCTAATGGCAGTCCTGTGTCTCTCTGCCATTTAGGAGTTAAATCACTTTGTTTCTGTTTATGCAGCCCTTGCCACACCTCCTCTGGCTATGATTGACACAGCCTGCATGAAAAAAAACTGGTTTCAATTTTATCTCTTGCTCTTTAAATTGAACTTTAATCACACTCAGGAGGCTCTTGCAGGGTCTAGCACGCTATTAACATTGCAGGGAATAAGAAAATCTAAATTAAACAGAACTTGCAATAAAGAAAGGATAAACTCTAGATGACTCTTTACAGGAAGTGTTTAGGAAGGTTGTGCAAGTCACATGCAGGGAGGTGTGACTAGGGTTCCTAAACAAAGTGATTTAACTCCTAAATCCCAGAGAATTGAGCAGTGAGGCTGCAGGGGTATGTTCTATGCACCAAAACTGCTTCATTAAGCTAAAGTTGTTTTGGTGACTATTGTCTCCCTTTAAATAAATAAAACACTTTGAGAACACTTTGATAAACACTCCCCAATGTGTTCTTGGAGACATGGGAGCATCAGAAAAGGCAGAGTAGTGTCAGCCTAGTACAAGTGCACATATACCAGGTTGACAAGCAGCCTAGCCGGACAGATCCTGAGGATAGCCCTTAAAGAAGTGCTATCTCATGGACCTACATGAGCTTTGTATAGTCTGCATGCAATGCAAAAGAAAAAGACAAAAACGTGAAAAAGTCCCAAAATCAGGACTGTCCGCTCAGATTTGGGACAATTGAGAAGTATACCATCAATCTGTAATTTCTACAAAGAACAATCTGGCACTGACATAAACACTTGTTGTTTTAGGTTCATTCCAGCAGTAGGCCTTGAACTAATGTCATGCTACAAGTTTAGCATACATGGCTTTCATAGTGATAGGATCTCAGGGGTTAAAGGAAGATGAGTTTACCTCTAATCATGCATTTGTTCAGAGTGAAAGCAGTACAGCACAGAATTCATGGAAAGGTCAGATACTCCAAGCTTTTGTGTAAACAATCATGGGTCATTACTGTTGTAGACAGATGAGTGCGGCTCATGAGTTAACCCCTTGTCAAGCAAGATCTTCTAGTATAAACAAAAAATATAGCATTGTATAGAATTCTATTTCATGGGAGGCAGAGCTAAAACATAAACAACAGCAACTGTGTATGGATTGTCGTTCTGTGATATTTAAAATTATATAAATTTGTACAATTCTTAATGTAAATGTATTTGTTAATAATTTACATAAATATTGGAGAGGGTAAAATGTTTTATAGATAAATTGTACTCCATATATTCTTGTATGTTTTAAAGGTGTTGTCATATTTATGTCGAAAGTGAAATGTAATGTTTAGTTCCATACAGTACTAGGTTAACAAACAAGATATAAAATGGTCAAATGCAGTGCTTAAGAGTACTGCTTACTCAGCAAGGAGCTACTGGCTTAGCACTGAGGCACGCAAACTGGGGGGTCTTTGCACACAGGACCACCCAAAAGGCATCTCTGATCAAGGGCCTGGTCCGGCACAGCAACTGCTAACAGTATGACCGGCCCCTGAGATCTGCTTGGCTACCGAGGTGATCACTTCCTCCCAGCTTACAGAGAGCCCTGTGAAGGAGGGAGAGGAGGAGTGGGAAGAGAGCCAGGACCAGCCCCAGACCACAATCAACATCAGCCAGCACCTGCTGCAGTGAGATCCTACTGGACCCTATGGAAGCCACCCTCCTGCACTCAGACTCAAAGTTGGTAAATGTGTGTAGCTCTGTGTTGATCAGTGTGCAGTATCGGTGAATGTGTTTCAGTGTGTATGTGCGTCTGTGTCAGTATGCATATCTGCCTGGTACGTGTATATGTGCATACATCCCAGTATTGAAAAGCAAACACTAGATTTAAGGACACTCCTGCATTAAAACAACAGTACATACATATAAACCCACCCTGCACTGAAATGTAAAAACTACATACAAACACACCCCTGCAATCAAAACACCAGCACTACATACAAACACCGCCCACCATTCAAACTCCAATGCTACACTACTTTCAATTATGTAGGCCTGCCAACAATCCCAATTACAGTGTTACAGTTCTGGTTTCAGGGTTCTATCTCTCTAGCCCAACTTTTTTCCTGATGTCCCACTTTTTGTATGTAACCATAAAGAATAGCACAAGCCTGTAATTGGTTGTACTTGTGCTCTGCTCAGTGCACTAGGTCCTCTATCTGTATGGTCTGCCTTTAGTGGGTCAGCCTGCTTCATTTGCAGTCAACCTGGTATGCATTGGTGCCAGGCTGACCTGCCAATTCTTCGGATGGACCAGAACTCTTTCTGGGCAAATTCATGTCACTGGCCCACCCCCTTTTAACCCACCCACGCTTCACATAACGACGATGTCTGTGTATAATTTAGGCTTTGTGTTGTATGTCACTTATATAAAGCTGAACACACAGAATAATGCTTGATTACCTAGAAATTAAGGTAAAAAGCACAATAATAGGTCTATTGCCTTTTATATCTATAGTTATTCTATTAATAAAGTGCAGTCCATACTGCACTTAATGCTTAGCTGTAAAATGCAAAATCTCTCAATAAAACAGCAAGACTACCATTAGAAATCTTAGGGCCCCATGCAAAATCATTTTACAGGGTCGTCACCCTGGTACACACTCCATAATATGCACACAGATACAAACTCACAGACATACAATCATTCCCAGACATATGCACCACAGATACGCTCTCCCAGACACACTCAAAGACAGACATTCACACCTAAACATTTGCACTCCCAAACAGACGCACGCACAAACATTGCTAGAAACAAACATTCCAAGCCATTCACTGCCACACTCACAAGTACACTTTGCCACACACCAAGATCCTTGCTGCCACACACACACAAATATGCACACACGTTACACACACAGAAACAATATATCTGTTTAAGAGGCACAGTTCTTAATCTATTTAAGGTTCAAATCCCTGTGCCCCTGGTTTTCTACCTAGTGTGCCTCTAGGAGCTTCATGTTATTTGTGTATCTGATTGTATAACAGAGCTCCACAGCAATAATACTCACAGTAATGTGTCTCAGTATTAAGGTATTGTGTCTTAAAGATGCAATAAATAAACCTGTGTAAATCAATATAAGCATATTTTATCCACTTTCCTGTTACCATAATTTTTGTGTGAAGGTCGGTTGTTTTCCAGCAGTCTCGTGCGAGCTGGCTACTGCAGGTCTTAGTATCCCCTTGTGTGCCGAGAGGAAGTGACATTTAATCACATTCTCCCAATCCCAGAACTGCTCCATGAGGAAGCAACCAGGGCCAACATGTTCCAAGCTATTTAGGGGTCCAAGCTGGTGTGTTGTAAAATACACTCCTGTTTGGGGAGGTACTCTATATAAGTCTGACCACGTAGTATTAAAGGATGCCTAGGGGGCCCCAAGTCCTATCCTGTTCCCTATACAGAGTATGTTGTTTTTTTTTTGTGTAAATTTCTTTGCATTGAAAATATTTTTTGTTTTCATTTTCAAGATTAACAATATAGGACTCGCAGGTCCTTCAATTTAATGAGTATGAACACGCAGATCCTGTTGTATAATTATACATAAACATGGAAACAAGAGAAACACTTTATAGGTGTCCTAAGACGAGCGTAACTTGGGACATAGTCACCCCTATCATTTGCAACAAGGTAAATGAATGAATGACTATATGTACAGAACAGATAATAAAAAAAGAAAACTGTGAGTCCAAGGCCATCAGGTGCGCAGTAGAACGGGTGTCCAGCCCCTTTCTTTTTGACTATACTTTATCTTAAAACAGTTGGTTGCACTGAATATATGCACTATAGTAGGCCAAATTCCGAACCTTGGCAGGGTATGGGGTTTAATTCCCTGATGGTGGCAATGGAAAACAGGCTGCACAGATAAAAGAAGCAATGCTTGTCTTTAACCTGCATCATGTCCTCAGAACTCCTGCTGTGAGAGATTCTTATTATTGCCCACAATCAATAAATAAATTCTTAGAGGGACATCCCAAGCTTGAACTGACCCTTACTTTTTAAATGCATTCTATTTTTACACTGCTGTCTTTCTTGTGCTCAGCTGTACTTTGCTGGACACAGCTTTGATCTGATGCCCCTTCCTCATCAATAATGCATCTAGAAATATCCTATTGTTTGAATGCTTATTATATTATTTCCTGCTAAGATATTGTGGTTTTGGAAAAGCCAGAAACGTAAAAAAAAAATTCAGTTGAGAAACAAAAATGCTTACATACATTTTAGAAAAATAAATAAAAATAAAATACATCCATGCAAGTTTTCCTCACAGTGGACATTCTTCTATGATGATAAAGTGTCTGAACAATTCCCATCCGTGTTCTCTGATGTAAATGTATGGGAGTTGCATTAACATGCTCATGAGTGGTGAATGCGTACATTTACTATATATCAAAGCCTTCTTATGGGCTTCAGTGCAGGCACAGGCCCATTCCATGTTAGTTATACTGCACTTGGCAATCTTTTTATTTCTGGTAACAAAAGCTAAAGGACGAGCTAAATTCAGAAGTTACTGCAGGCAGACACTGACAATGCAGCTTGTAGGTTAAGTTTACGTTAGAGGAACAATATAGTGTTATACAAACCTGTATTCCTAACGCTATAGTGTCCCTGTATTAATACAGCCCCACCCCTGTTTGCTATTAGAAATATAATAACGTTTTTTTCCAGTGCCGAACCTTCTTCGGTGCTGTATACCTCTCCTCCTCCCCATGACATCATTGATGTGGCAAGGCCTCCTCCGGGATGGTCCACTCCAACCATCTGATGAGCACTACGCATGCATTCACACTTCTCCCTAGGAACACTTAGTATTCAATACTTTCCTTTTCGGTTTCTGCATTACATCACCAAGTTTTGGTCTGGAGGAGGAAGCACTTCTAGTGGATGTCTGGAGATATGCTCCATAAGTAATTCTGCTCCATCTTCCCAGCCTGCAGTGTTTTGTTTTGGGTTTTTTTTGTAGTAAAAAACTAAGTTACAACTTAGATCTAAACCAGTTATAGTTCGGCCACTGGCTTTCTACAGCAGAAGGTTGACAAGTGAATTACAATGCCCAAAAACCCTTGCTGGGCTCATAAAGCATTGCTTGTGGGCAGTGGCGTACTAAGGGGGGGGCGGAGGGGCGGTCCGCCCCGGGTGCCAGCCGGGTGGGGGGTGCCATGGCCAGCCCCCGCCCCCCCCCATGCTGCAGCCGCCCGAGCGCTCTGTAGTGAGCCTCAGGCGGCTGCAGCTTTGCCCGGGCGGTGCGTCCATGAGGGCGGACCGCACCGCCCGGGCGCAGCCTGAGGAGAGGGGCTGACAGGAGGGCAGCGCTCAGCCCTCCCTCCTGTCACTCCCTCACTGTATCGTGGCCGAGCCCTGTATAGTCGGCGGGTACAGGGAGCAGCTGTCTCCTGTACCCGGCCGGACTAACAGGAAGTGCACACACTGTGTGCACTTCCTGTTAGTCCGGCCCGGTACAGGAGACAGCTGCTCTCTGTACCCGCCGACTATACTGGGCTCGGCCACGCTACTACACAGGTAGGGGAGGGGGGAAGAGAAAGGAGAGGGGGGGTGAGAGAAATTAGGAGGGGGGAAGAGAAATTAGGAGGGGGAAAGAGAAATTAGGGGGGAGAGAAATTGAAATTAGAAGGGGGGGATAGAAATTGAAATTAGGAGGGGGGAAGAGATATTAGGAGGGGGAAAGAGAAATTAGGGGGGGAGAGAAATTTGGAGGGGGGTGAGAAAGAGAAATTGGGAGGAGGAGAAGGAAATTGGAGCGGGAGGAGAGATTGACATTCATCACATACACACAATGCACCCCTTGCACACAGAAAACACACACAGACACACATACACAAGCAATGCAACCGTTACACACAATGCATCCCTTACACACACAGAAACACACAATGCATTCATTACACACACTCAATGCACCCCTTACACACATTCAATGCATCCCATACATACACAGAAACACACCTTGCAGCCCTTACACATACAAACACAATTTCACACAATGCATTCCTTACACACATATCAGGACATCCCCTACACACTCCACCCCTGTGAACAAACTCATTGGTGGAACATGAAGGTGGACCCTGGGACCCAGACCTTGAGCTGTGTAAAGGACCCCCAAAAAATGGAGCTGCTTCCCGTTCTCCCAGAACATTGATTTTTGTGACCACAGTTACAAACCGCCTCCAGAGAGCCTGTTCTGCACCAGACCAGTGGAGCCAGACTGCAGCTAGAGCCCATCATCATCCTCATCTGGTTGTAAGTAGGCAATCTAGTATATTATTCGTGGCACTAAGCTCTAATTTACCTCACATTAAAGAAACACTATAGTCCCCAGAACCACTTCAGCTTAATGTAGTGGTTCTGGTGTCTATAGCCTGTCCCTGCAGGCCTTTTAATGTAAACACGGCGGCACTGCAGCACTGGCGTTAGTTAACATGGCAAATCATATGGGTGGGGCATTGTGATGTCACATGGGGGGGGTGGCAAACTTTACTTTTGCCTAGGGCGGCAAAAATCCTTGCACCGGCCCTGGCTGGAGGGGGCTGTGTGAGCTGTGGCCGCACAGTGTCCCATGGTAGTTAGGGTGCCGTGCGGCCAGTACAGCTCACACAAGCAAACAGCTGATAAACTGGCCGCACGGAGGAAATGTGTATGTGTGACTGTCTGCCTGTGACTGTATGTGACTGTCTGTCTGTAACTGAGTGTGTGACTGTCTGCCTGTAAATGTGTGTGTGGGGCTGCAGGGATTTTGTAGAAGGGGGCGGGGGTTTTGTATTGGGATAGGAGTCTTTATAAGGGGGGATAAGCAGGGGATTTGTGGAAGGGGGTTGCGGGGGTTTTGTAGACGAGGCAGTACAGGATTTGTAGAAGGGACAGGACAGAGGTTTTGTAGGAGGTGCAGGACAGGACAAGGGTTTTGTAGGAGGGGCTGACAGCGGTTTTGCAAAGTTTACAAATTGTAAAAAAAAAAAAAAAGAGAGCCTTTAAAATTTTTTACAGGTTTTTTTTTTTTTGGGGGGGGGTGCCAAGCACAGGATCCGCCCCGGGTGCCAAATGCTCTAGGTACGCCCCTGCTTGTGGGATGCGTTCATTATTGCTAATGAAAGTTAAGGGAGATGAGTCAGTTCTTTGTTTGGTGAGGGCTCTTTTCTTTTCATATTATTTCTTGGAATGTTTTTTTTTTGTATTTTTTAATGCACTTTCTATATATGTGTCTCATAAAAAGAATGGGTCAAATCCCTTTAATTAGTAAGCTTTGAAATACATGATTTGTCCAGATGCTTGGAGCATACCTGTAATTTGCTGACCTGGTACTGGTACTGACGAATTGTGATCCTGAAGGTTGTCTGCTGTGCCCCTGGCAGCAGGATAATGCTGTACATGGAATTCTCCAAAATTACAAGGCTGATTAAAAGTGATGGATTATGAAAAGAAGCTGATTTTATTTTTAAGTGTAGTGCCCTACAATAGTTTCTTACAATCAAAGCATTATGTTGCCAAGCTACAGCACTTTAAGAAAATAGTGTAACTTGACCCATTTATTCTGTACATCTTTTCACTTACAGAAAATCTAATATTTGTTTTAGCATTCAGAATAATATACTTTATGTCTTACACACCGGATTTTGTCCGAATAGCCGAATTCAGGATTCAGTCAGTCCAACCAATTCTGTAATATTCATTTGGATGAGTCACTTCTCTGGAGACTTGACTGTCAGGGCGCTCTGATTCGTTGGCATACTAGTTTTTCTGGTATTTTTTTCTTTTTCAACTGGGCCTTTTTTATTTTAATTAGTGGCGGCGGTTATTCTGGATTTTTATTTTGAGTATTTTGGGGCAGAAGAACAGAATAATTAGAAGAAAGAAGACTTCAGATAGTGGTAAGTATATATTTTCTATTTTACAGGTTTTAGATTTATTAGACCCCTCCTTACTATTATTAAGGCAAGGGGTTAGGAAGGGACTTTATTTCAGGGGGTTGGACTATAGGTCTCCCTCCCTTTATAATTAATATAAGGCCCCCACCAGT